CTGGGCCTCCCCGAGATCGTTGTTCACGACGGTGAAGTTCAGCCCCAGCTCCTCCACATCGCCCTCGTAGCTCTTGAGGAACAGCAGGTTCCTGTACACCTCGGGGTCCAGGGACGCCAGGTGGTGGATGTCCACGTCGGCGCTGGTGCCCAGCAGCTTGGACAGGAAGAAGCCGGCGAAGGGCAGCTCCACCAGCATGTTTTCGTAGAGAGCCTGCAGGGGAACAGGGCGGGGTCAGCACCTCACAGCATTCTCTCCGTGCCCCCGGAAGACAAATACACGCGTGCACGCCGGTGTGTAAGAGACTAAGACAGCAGACGGCTTCCCTGTCGTGAAGGGAGGACGTGGCAGCTCGTATTCGGTGTATTTAGTGAGTGTTTAACTTACCACGTGCCAGGCGCAGTCCAAGCACTCAATGTGCTCAGGATGTGGGAAATTCTACAGCGGACTGCGTAAGATTTGAGGGCTGAGGTCACAGAATGTTAATACCAGGGGAGATTTTTAGGGGCTAACCCCTCCTCGCTACCACGGAGGTGGTAAAGGGCTTGGCAGGTGTACCGGTCTCCTGGGGCTGCCGTGACAAAGTACCACTAACTGGGAAGCTTAAAACAAGAACTTATTGTCTCACAGCCTGGAGGCCAGAAGTCCAAAGTCAAGGTGCCTCAGGGACACGTGTGTCCCCGAAGGCTCAGGTGAAGGACCTCTCCTGCCTCTTCCAGCCTCTGGTGTTGCCGGCGTCCGCGGTGAACCCGGCCCTGTAGGGCCTCCCTCCGACCTCTGCCTCTTCCCGTGGCCTTCTGCCCTGTGTCGTTCCGTGTCTGAACCCCCATCCTCCTCTTATAAAGACGCCAGTCCCTGGATTTGGGGACCCACTCTAACGCAATGTGACCTCGTCTCAGCTTGACTACAGAGTGAAGACCTCATTTCCAAGTGAGGTCGCACTCACAGGTACGGGGGATTAGGATCTGAGCTTATCTTTTGTGGGGGTCACAATTCAACCATCTCGTGCCCCCCTCCCCCGTGCCTTTGCCACACAGAGGACGCAGCGCAAAGCGAGCGAGGGCGAAAGCTGGAGAGCTCACATAGCTTCCAGTGGGAAGAACGCCCCCTCTCCACGTCTGTTTTCCAACCACCAAGTGGAAAGGCATCCTCGGCACACCAACCCCCGCTGCCACCTGCCCACCCCACTCTCGGACGAAGGAGCCGGGTCCTAGGGCCCCGGGGGATGGTCCAGACACTGAGTTAGTAGGTGCAAAACTGGTACCAAAGCCCCACCCCGATGCCAGACACACGACGTTTCCACTCTGGAGTTGCTGTCCACCTTTACCTCTAAGGACTGCGCTGCACAACTACTTTTGCATTTATTTACAGTCAAGTATAACCTACATACAGTAAGAAACGTACAACCCACAAGTCCAGCGTGTACGTGGCCACAGCTGTGTCACGCGCTCTCTGAGACACAGCATCTGCACGCCTCCCACAAGCCGAGGGTTTCCCCCTCCAAGCAGCACCCAGGCCCCCCTCCTGCCGTTACACAGGCGAAAGTGCTCGCCGCGGGGCCTCTCGAGGGATGCGCAGGGCTCGCCCTCCACACCTCCTCGTGACACACTGCTCCGGAGACGCATGTCGTCTGCCTGTGTGGGAGCTCCACCTGTCCACCGGACAGCTTCTGACTGTAAGCAAAGCTCTGTGGGCAGCCACGCGGCCTCCCGGGGCCTCTGCTCTCACATCTCACTGGTACCCGCCTAAGGGAAGGTCTGTGGACGGGACGTTCTGGGTCACCGGGCTCTTCCCAGGATGCAACGCAGGAGGGCTGCACCTGGTCCCTCTCCCCGCCAGGGACCAGCACTGTCACTCGCTCGGTTTGCATGTCCCGGTCGGTGCGCAGGTCTCCCTGACGACCAGGGGTGCCGGGTGGCATTAAGTGTGGGACTCCTGGGCCAGCCTCCAGGGCCCTTCCAGCACCAGTGGGCGGGAAGGAGAAGTCTGCAACTTTCCCAGCGTGACACCAGGTCCCCTGCACGGTCTGTGCTCCTGTGGCCCAGGCTGCACCAAGGACCCAGCAACGTGCACAATTTCCAGAACATTCCTATTACTTCACTCCAACAAAGGGTTGAGCGGGAGGCCACAGCAAACCCCTCTGGTCAGACAGTGCTACTGAGCCCGGCTGGGTGAGGCTCAGCAGCTGAGTGTTGGCCTGGGACCCAGGGGATGGAGGTTTGATCCCCGGTCAGGGCACATGACCGGTTGCCAGCTCGATCAATGACTCTCTCATCACTGATGTTTCTCTCTCTCTCTCGCCCTCTCCCTTCCTCTCTCTAGAATCAATAAAGATATATTAAAAAAAAAGTGCCGCTGAAAGCACCCCCCCCCACCCCACGCCCGCGTCCCTGCGGTGCTGGTGCTGCGCTGAGCTCGCGCTTCAGCTGCCTCGCTCCCCCCTGCGGCCTGCGGCTCCCACGGTCAGGGCGCCTCTCGCGTGGGGCTGGGCGACCTGGGCTCCTCCACACGGCCTTTCTGGAGACATGTTTACCATGACCCCCGACACGCTCCTCACACCTCGGGCGGTCACGGGCAGCTGGAGGCGTGGCCTTGTGCCCGGGGGCCATGAACACAACGCTCTGTCTGGGGACAGCCCGTGACTCCTGCCTGAGACGGCGCGACCCCAGAGGACGGGGCGAGCGCTGCAGGAGTCCCCCGAGGGGGTTGAGGTCAGCCGCGTGGGCGCCGCGGTAACGCTTCCTCAGGCCGCCGTTTTAAGGCTCAACACTATTGCGCTGCACACGGAATCCAAACATAACACCAGCACTTGCTCTAAGGTAACCCTTCGCAGGAAGCGGCGCCTGACTTCAGACCGCTCCTCCCACACACCAGACGAGGCACAAGCTTGGGGACACGGACGTGTGGGACTCAACGCAGCTGGAGCTCAGCGCCTCCAGCCCAGCCGAGAGGGAAGAGCAGCCGGCACAGCGCTCACCCCGGTCCAGAGAACCAACCGCTCCCCAGCCAGCTCCACGGAGGCACCGGAGGCAGCGTTCCACGTGGCGCCATCGATGGAGTTACTCGCTGGCGAGTGTCCCCGCCCGAGCCCCCGGAGTGCCCACACGCCCTGAGATCCGCGCTTGAGTCTCACACTAACGGACTGCAGGGTACTGGACCCGGCTGGCAAGCGTCCCCTCGAGCACACACCAGGTGCACGGCCTCTGGTTCCAGAAAGGCTGCGAGGCCAAGACTCCGACACACCTGCCACCCACGGGGCTGAGACTCGGGAACGGAGCCCCTGGCTCTTATTTCTGACCCGAAGACTAAGGACGACCCAATTACTTCTGAAAAGACAGCAGCAAAGGACTTATTCACAAGGGGCACGTCGGCAGTGAGGCCACTGAACGCAGAGAGCGGCTCTGCTGAGTCGAAGCCACAGTCTGCTCAGTGGCACGTGGCTGAGACTATGGACCTGCAGCACCTTGAGTCCCAGCACCTGGACGCACGACGTCAGAGCCAAGGAGACCACTCGGCAGAGACAAGACGGATCCCAGGTGCCGAGGGCACCTCATCCGCACCGTGACTCTGAAGTGAGCACAGGTGTAAATCATCCACGGTCAACGCTAAGGTCACTGTTTGCCATTTCTGCATTAGTAACAATAAGCCGGTGAAATTCGTCACACAGATCTGAGCTACCTGAATTTTAAACAGAGTCCCACTGTGACTCATAAAATGCAAATGCATAGGTATAATTTTTTACAGAAGGCAGCTTTAAACCTTCAGAGCATTTAATATACAAGCACTAATAAATGATAGCACTAAAAACTATGATCGCATCAGCTAAATGGATTATAAATTAAATTTCCATAATGTATGCACCCGAGATACAAATGTAAGCATAAATCAAGGTATTTTCTAAACACAGGTTAATTATACAACTTCAAAAACTGCCTATTTTTTATGCAAAATAATCCACTTAGCATTTTTCATCTGGCCTTCATCGCAGCCAGCTGGCCACGCGGGTTCCCGAGGCCCATCAATAACCACCTGTCAGGGGAGGTAGCAATAGGTATATGGAAAAAACCTGTAACGGATTTTTCAACTGTCTGTCTTTTATGAGGGTTTATAGCTAGAAATTGTGCCAAAATGATCTGAAGTAGAAAGGATTAATTATCGCAGAAGCCTTTTAGCTGAGTGCAGCTGGTGCGACTGATGCAAACCGTGGCTCCTCCAGGAGCACAGACGCGAGCCTCACCACGGCCATTTCTGTTTGCTGCCAAACAACGCCGGTAATTTACTACATTAAGAATCAATAAAAAAATAATGCTTTTCAAATGCATCTTTATCAATCTTCAGGTGGTTCTAAAGTGAACATTTATAACTTAATCTGAAAACTATATCAGAGATGTCTTCTTTAAAGGCCGCCTGGTTGAGCAAGAAAAGCTGACTTCAGATCCCGCTGCCCTCGGAGAGCAAAAGATGAAGAAGTGTAGAAAGAGGGGGCCGGCTGAGAGCAACACACTCCCCCGTTCAACAGCTGAGCTGCCCACGAGCACCTGGGACTGGCCAGCAGGGTCTCTGGCTGGACTGCTGACGCTGGACCGCAGGCTCCCGGAGGGCAGGAAACCTGCCATCGCACACGGCCCGACCATTTAACAAGCCCTGACTAAGGCGGCTGTGGGCGAGGGGCCACTTCACGCCCTGGAATCTGCACCTGCAAATCCGTTTGCATAAAACATTTATTCTGTTTTGGGAAGTTTCAGGCTACAAAAATCACCTACCTGTCCGGATTCACTGCAAATCTGCGGCCTTCCCGCCCCAGCTCCAGACACCCCCCACACTCACCCTTTAACCCCTCTGCACAGCCCTGCGTACGGCCCGTAAAGACCTGCGCACGGCGGGGCGGGGTCCACGGTGCACGTGCGCAGCCACCCCCAGGACCCCGAGGGCCTGGGCCAGGCGCAGCCTCCCTCCCCTCCCTGACTCACCACCCACAGGGCACACGCAGGCTCCCTGGCACTTCCTTAAGCGTGGACAGAGCTGAGCGGCCCGCTCACGTGCGACTCAGCGGCGCCCACTGGCACGCTGCAGCAGGGTCCGGAGTCCAGGGGCTGACAGGAAAGGCGCCGCTGGAGGCCCCGAGGCACCCAGGACGCTGGCCTGCCTCCCCCAAAGGCCCCCTTCCCCGGAGGTGCCCGTGCTCTCCTCCGAGACCGGGGCGCAGGGCAGGCCGAGGGGCCGCGAGCGAGGCCACCCGCCAACGCCGCAGGGAGGCTCCTAGGACAAGAGCTGCTCCTGGTTCACTGACTGACAATCGCACTTTGGTCTGACAGCTTGCTTCTAAAAACAGCTCTTTCCCGTCAGAAAATCCTGGGGATGCTGAGGGGAAATGACAGCTCACTGGTCACACAGCCTGTGTCCCTCACGGGAGGTCCAGGGGTCGGCCCCCAGGATGACACTGCTGCTGACCAGCCAGGGCCAACCCTCAGAGGAGAGACGGTCTCGGCCTCCTCCCACCCTGCCCGCCACCCCTCCGAGACGGCAGGGACCCGCCTCGCATGGCCCCCGTGCGGCCCCCCAGCGGGGACCGTGGGGTCGAGAGCAGCCCGCGCGGCCCTGCTGGAGAGGAGCTGAAGGGGGAGGACGCTGGGCCCAGGCAGGCGCCTCACGGCAAGGACACGTCACTAATGAAAAAGAAACACTGTTGCCCTGGCCGGGGGCTCGGGCGGTTACAGTGTCATCCTCACCAAAGGGCTGTGGGTTCCATCTGCGGTCAGGGCGTGTACTGGACGCAACTGATCCATCTCTCTGTGTCTCTCTAGAATCAATTAAAAAAAAAAAGAATATCCTTGGGTGAGGATTATAAAAAAATTTTTCTGAAAAGTATGCCGTTGGCCCGCCAGCTTGGCTCAGTGGTCATAGCGTCAGCCCGCAGGCTGAAGGGTCCCAGGCTCAATTCTGGCCAAGGGCACCCACCTCCGTTGCAGGCTCACCCCCGGGCCCGGTCGGGGCACATGCAGGAGGCAGCCAGTCGATGTCTCTCTCACATCCATGTTTCTCTCTCTCCCCTTCTTCCTCTCTCTCTGAAAAGCAATGAAAAAATATCCTCAGGTGAAGATTTAAAAAAAAAAAAGTATGCCCTTGACCGACAAGCAGACCTGTGATTGCTTTTCTTATGGAAAAGGCCGTAAATCGTGGTAACTAGGACGCTACAAATGCAGGTACAATTCTCAGAAGGGGTCAGACTCAAGTAAAGTATCATCTGTAAATAACAATCTTTGGCTTTTCTGCTTACAAAAACCTTGAAGGTCAGTCAGAGCAGGCTCACAAGGCACCAATCATTGTAACTGGGAGGCTCCACAAGGGCAAGTGTGAAATCTGCTGGCATTGGAGAAAGTCTTTCTGTGTGTTTTTTAAAGAATTTATTAATTTTAGAGACAGAGGGAGAGACATCGCTTGGTTGTTCCACTTGGTTGTTTCTCGTATGGCCCTGACCGGAGATCGGACCTGCAACCTTGGCGTGTCAGGACGACACCGAACAGCTGAGCTACCCCGCCAGGGCCAGAAGTGAGAAAGTCTTACCGCTGGTGGGAAGGCTTGTGCTAAACACAGAATGACTATTTGCTGAATGTTGTGTTTGAAACCTCAGGGAAGAGATGCATTGACTTCGGCGACCACAGTGCTCGGTCTGAGGACAACCCAGTGGAGAAGCCCGACCGTGCCGATCACGCGTCAACAAGGCACAAGGAAGGGGCAGCCTCCCCACTTGAGGACCAAGGTGACCTAAATTACTAACACTCGCCTGGGTCCTGTTCTAAAGCCTCCGTAGATTCAGCAAGCACCGAGAAAAGGACACTAATGACGCTGAAGAACACATGTCCCAGCTCTTGGGACACACGGCTACCCACTCTCTGTGATCCACACGGGCGCACTGAGCTCGCTAACACACGGGATTATAAACTGCACCGACGGTCCACAGCCTGCTAATTAAAACCCTGAAATATATGAGCAAGGTTTTATCAAATAACTTGATTTATAGGCAAGCCGCTGTTCCAATTAGATCAATAGTCTAAAGTAAGGAGAAAAGCCGTTTCCAAGTAGAATTCAAAGATGATAAAAGATTTCCTTCAATAAATATTCTGAACTTAATTGGCTTAAATGGACCTAGGTGCTTCTGTCGGTAAAAACAAGTTTGAGATGACATTACCACATCCCCGAGCTGTTTATTTATCCCCGGTCGGGCTGATTTACAGGCGATAAATGCGTCCCAGCCACGGCAGGCACAGGAACCGTCGCTAATGGAACTCCTCACTGAGCAGCGGCCACCCGTGAGGCAGCTCTTCCCGGGCAGACTGCTCCCGGGACCCCGCCGCGCTCCATCACAGCAAACAATCACTAACCTATGCATTAGGGAAATTTAAATACATTATGACCCAATAAATACCACAATCCATCAGTACACAATTTCTCCTCTTGAGATTTAGTGTCCAGCACAGCACTATTAGTATGGCCGTCACCCCCCCTCAGGCCCCACGTCTCCAACACGCCAGCACGAGAGTAACCGTTCGTGCAAATGACCACCCGAGAGGGTCAGAAGCTAGTACCCCTCAGGAATTTCCACGCAGAAATCTATGGAAGTCTCAAATACGGGGGAACCGCCACACGCTAACCATCACCCTCAAACGACTATAGTTTTGTTACTGGTTTTGTCTCAACATCATTATTTTACTTAACTTGTTTTTTTATATGTTTTACTGACTTCAGAGAGAGGAAGGGAGAGGGAGAGAGAGAAACATCATGATGAGAGTCACTGATCGGCTGCCTCCTGCGCGCCCCCTGCTGGGGATCGAGCCCACAACCCCGGCAGGGCCCATGTGCCCTGACTGGAAATTGAACTGTGACCTCCTGGTTCATAGGTCAACATTCAACCACTGAGCCACGCCATCTGGGCTGAACATCATTATTTAAATAGCTCGCCTGGCCGGGCGTGGCTCAGTGGTTGAGCATCAACCTAGGATCCAGGAGGCTGCGGTTTGATTCCGTCAGGGCACAGGCCCGGGTTGCAGGCTTGATCCCCAGTAGGGGGCGAGCAGGAGGCAGCTGATCCATGACTCTCTCATCACTGATGTTTCTCTCTCTCCTTCTCCCTTCCTCTTTCTGAAATCAATAAAGACATATTTTAAAAAAATAAAAATGAAAAATAAATAGCTTCACTAAGAGAATTTACATAACTTCATTGCTGGGAGAAAGGCTGAGACTACAAATTCTCCTGCCTGGAACCTGCTTTAAAGGGAGGAGTGAGAAGCACCTACCGTCCCCCGAGTCTAAGACACCCCAAGACATCACCTTCAGCCCCATGACAGCCACCAGGTGAGCACACATGAGGGGGTACCGGTTATGAACCAGGAAGGGGGCCCCCATAAGATGACACCTGTGGCACCCTCATCTTGAATGCACGGCCTCTGGAACTGTGAGAAAAAAGTTTCTGTTGTTTGTAAGCCTCCAGCCTGCAGAATTTTGTTACAGCAGCTGAACGGGCTGAGACAGGCGAAGGCCCATCCAGAGGTCAGTGATGAGGGGTCGGCACCGGTGCATACCCTTGTCTGTGTCAGAATCTAACGGGGAGTGTTTTGAAAATTTCAACATTAAATAGGAAGTTTCCACCAGGCTGTGTAATGTTTTCCTTCCATTTACAACAGGTGAGTTGCACCTGTATGGATGTGGCAGGTGCAGCACCGTGGCCACCACAGTATCCTCGAGTAGCCCATATTCACGGAATTGCTGACAACACCTGCAGCACCAGCCACACCGCACACCTGGGTCTTCCCACTCCCAGCCTGTGAAAGGTACAGAACCTGATGAGAAGCCGTCACACCGATACCAGAGGGAGCACCGTGAGAGGACCCCTGTGCACCACACACCGCCTGTGCTGGGGACCTAAGTGCACGCTATGTCCCATGTCCCCTGCACCAGCCCAATGCTTTTCTGTATGTACATCAGGTATAAAGACGACCTGCAGTTGTCAGTGGAAAGTGCTCTTCAGGGCTCAACAGGGTAAGTTGATGAGAATCCTGAACAGAGACGTCCACTAAGGCCGTCGACAACCACGCAGACACACAGACCATCAACCTCTGTGGCCAGAAACCACTCTTGCGTGCCAGGGTTACCTTTCCGAGCATTCTGCCCAGGAAGTAGTAATGTCTGGCGAAGGAGTCCCCCACGAGCATCTGCGCAGCGGGGTTGGGGTACAGGAGCCCCTCGTTGGTCGTCTTGAAGAAGCCCTGGTTGGGGTTGAAGCCCGACTTCAGCAGCTCGTTCAGAAACTCCCTGAAGATGCCACCACCATCGATGCCGGCCTCATCCAGCCCATGTGCGTTGAGCAGGTGGACACGGATGCGCTTCTTCAGGTCGGGCTCTGGTGGGGGTGAGGGAGAGGTTTTAAATGAAGCAATGCGGTAAGGTGAGGGGAGGAGGCAAGGAGAGGAGAGACCCTTTAATGCAGGGCTGTAAACAAACCAGTGCCCCACAGCCCACGGGGGAGAGGTCCCTCTGCACACACAGACGAAGAAGGCGGGGCTGCGGGCGGGAGGTGAAGAAAATAGCCACCAGCATATACCCAAGGGCCATGCAGACAGGTACCAGGAGAGGAGGTGATTGCGGGCGGGAGGTGAAGAAAATAGCCACCAGCATATACCCAAGGGCCATGCAAACAGGTACCAGGAGAGGAGGTGAGTGGAATTGGGACACAGGATCACCGTGGAACAGAGAATTACTACCAAGAAAGGGGAAAGGGTGAGCGAGTCAAGATGGCAGTGAAAGGACTTTCTACACGACCTGTGGATGAGGCACATGCTACAGGAGGAGAGAACAGACTCTATGCCCCATTCACAGCTGATATCTGGCTGAGAACAGGACACGCCACAGAGACTGAGAGGCCCCCACCCAGGGCCCTCAAGGACAGCACCGGGTGAGTGGGACTAACGTGCCAACAGGCCCCCACAAACACAGGAGCCTCCATCCTGTGTCAGCATCTGGTCAGCACCCAACACAAGTCCTCCTCCCTTCCCACCACTGTCCTTTGGGTGCTGTGCAGAGGAGGGGAGCGGGAGCCCCCAGGAGTGCGCACCCAGCAGAGCCTCCGACCCCATGACCACAGGGTCAGGCACTCTGAAGTCAGGGAACCCAGCAAATGTTCTGCAGTTTCACACACAATGTGCCACGTGGGTCCTTCCTGCACAGCAGTGACGACCATCTCACTGAACGGCTGCCCTACCCCACCAGGACTAAGGTGCACCAGGTGTGCCAGGTGAGGCCTGCCTTAAAGCCCAGGTGCCCACGGGGAAGGTGAACCCAAGCCGCCTGGCCACAGCTTGCTCCTGTGCTCAGTAAGGGAGCCACCATCACTGAGCGGTCACCAGAATCCATGCTACAATTTCACATCTGTCGCTCCAGCTCCTTTAACTCCTTCTGGGTGAAGAATCCCCCCCCCCGCCCCGCAGTGAGAAACTGAGGATGGACAGCCGAGTTATTTATCTCCAGACTCACAGCCAACACGCAGGGCAGCACTGTGCCTTAGACACACTGTCGCCCACAGAGGGGGGCGCTCTTCCCATTTATTCTTAAAATCTAACTGCCGTGGCCAGGCCCGGGCACAGCCCTGGCTCGGCTCAGGGTGCCCGGCTCCGAGGCCGCGACACAGAGCGCGAACGACGCACCGGGCGCCCGCACGCAGCACCTGGACCAGAGCCCAGGAACAGCCACGGGAGCCCTCCTCACGGGCCCCACAGGATGACGCTAGCTCTTTGTGGAAAATACAAAACAGAACCACCCAAACAAGAGGCTCTGCTTTCCTAGAAGAAAAGGCAGCTGTTATTCCCACTGACAGCCTCTATCACCTCCCACGCCTGTGACCCGTCTCCTGCACTGATTTAACATCGATTTAATGCAGCACCACACACTCCACATTCTGAAGCTAAAATTATTAAAACATAAATTAATACTGAAACTTCTAACACTGGGTGTCAGACACCAACCCAAGACAGCGCATGTCATGACCTCTAGATGCCACACAAATGACCTGACAGCAGTGTCATCAAAGCCCACGATCTTCCTTAGAAACCTGGGGCAACGGTGTTTCCTCCAGGGCACAGATCTGGCTAACAACTGACGATATTTACATCAACAGGTGATTACACAGGAAACAGAACTTAAACGGCCAGAATCACAACTGCCAGCTCGTCTCAGGGACGACGCTCAGGTGATCAGCATTCGAGGCCCTGTTGCGATCACTATTTGTCAACCCCAGCAGTCTTACTTGACAACATGCACCTCCCAAATCTGAACTTCTACATTTAGTTTTAAAAAGTCATTAGAGAACAAGACGGTGGAAATTAGTTTTTAAAAACAATTCCCCAGCCCGGCCGGGCGTGGCTCAGTGGTTGAGCGTCGACCTGGGATCCAGGCGATCGGGGTTCGATTCCCGGTCAGGGCACATGCCCGGGTTGCGGGCTCCATCAATGACTCTCTCACCACTGATGTTTCTATCTCTCCCTCCCTCTCCTTTCCTCTCTCTGAAATCAATAAAAAATAATATATTTAAAAAAACAAAACAAAAACAATTCCCCAGCCCGCCCCCCCACATGCCCACAGAGGAATATGCATACCGTTTTCTGGGGAAAGTTTGTCATAAGCATCTTCATAAATATAATTCCTTCTTATTGTGACATTAATTCCATCCAGAAAGGGACCTTCTCCTTGGACTTCCTGCTTATCTGCGTAGATCAACCTCTGAAAGATCTAACACACAAGGGAAACTGTAAGGTTATTTGACACAACAGACCTTTTGTTATAAACATAAGCTACCAAAAAAAACCCTGCTAAATAAATTTTAACTTTTGTATCTCCATAAACCCTAAAGCCAATTTTAAAGGCCAAGGTATCAAATGCTGATTTTACGCCTTATCTATAAAGGTGTGATACTTATGCATTTGTAACAATGCTCCTTCTCCCCATTTCACGACTAATTTTAAAAATTCCATCCTACACTGTCTTTGCAGTATTTTCTTTTGTAAACCCTTTATAAAAACCCAGGTGGTAGAGGGAAGGGAGAAAAACAGCTCTGTACAGCTGCAAGTTAACATGAGTGATCAAATTTAACTTTTTAACGTGAACCAGCAGAGGGAGCTCGGGACCTGTGCACGTCGGTGCCCGTGGCCAGGGCGGGCGGCCTAATGGAGGCGCAGCAGTGGCTGCAGGAGCAGAGCAGTGTCCAGCCGCGGAGGGGACGGCAGCCCAGAGCCCTCCCTAGTTGGTAAATACGGAGGAACATTTAAAATCATACCTGGAAACACGTCAGTATAAACAAAGTTCTGTACATTAGTCAGAAGTCAGATATAAAGTACAAATATCTTTAACACAATGTACAAAAAATTGCATTTCCAAAAATAATGCAACAGTCACTGGACAAAGGGCACCTACAGCTCCCACTGCAAGGAAACAGCAGCCCAAGAGGCCTTTTAAACAGTACAGCTAAAGAAAAAATATTTCCAGTTTGTACACAGGGATATCTGGTGGGATTACACGTTTACAGATCACCGTTAACTATTACAATCTAATGGGAAAAGTATACATTGTGTGATTACCCGGGTACCAGGCTACTGCAGAGACTTTCCCTGGTGTTACCTTTCACACTGCAGTGACACAGAACACCGCAGTCCCCTTAAAGAAAGCCGGCATACCTTGACCCGCTCCTCAAACGGAACCACGAAGGGCAGCTCCGTCAGGATGGCAAGCTGTCGCTCCTCAGACACAGAGAGCGGCGGCGACTCCAGACCCACTGCAGCACAGCAAACCTGCGTTAGGTGCGTGTCCTTCCCAGACTCCCAAGGACACGCACTGTGTGTTTCAGCTTAGATATCCCAGGAAGGGCAAAGTCATGGGACTAACCCAAACCCATGGCGGCCGGGGAGGGGAGGGTTTGGGCTGGGATACAATGGAGCTTAATGTGGTTTGTGGTGCAGGTTCATCAAAAATCACAGAGCAGGACAAGGAAAAGCTAAGTTCCAGGGTCTGTGAATGGCCCCACTGGACCGGAGGTTAGAGAGCGCTCACCATCCAGGGTGGACTGCAGGGGGCCGATCCTCCCCATCCGCCGGAACCTCCACACGTGTCTGGCAGCTGGCACGTACAGCTGGGTGACCTGCAAGACCAGCAACCCTGCTTAGGACTGCGCGTGAGCTGGTCCACACCCACCTGTCCCACGTGAGCTAATGGGTGTTTATATTTACTGGAGTTAGCTAGGTCCCTCTCTGACCTCATGTCCTTTTCAGGTGACCTGTTCATGCCCTTGCACACCTACTGTGTGACTGTTCTAACACACACCAGGGAAATCTCTGCTTGTTCCATTTGCTGATGTGTAACACTGGACACCGTGACCACCATTAATAAGACTGCTTCACAAAGCAAACATGTCACACTTAAAAAAAAATTAACAATTTCTTACTGTGACCAAATAGTCACTTTTCTGTAATTTCGTAAAAAGTTAATTTGTCTGCATTATGTAGCATCCAAATAAAGCTGGTCCAGTGTCCTGTCCGGTGAACCCTCCAGCCTGACCCGTCCCGTGACAGTGGTGAAGCTGCAGCAGCTCCGTCGGGAGTTTGCCGACCGCACCTTCCTGGTGTCGTCCACATGCATGTGTGGCCCGTTTCCTGCACACGGAGCCACGTCTGGGTCACCCCAGTCGGGTGAGGAGCGTGCGTGGTGGCTGCAGGTGGGTGACGCATCGACAACTGTGCCATTACGTGGACCAGTGATGTCACTAGACACCCTGTCCGTGGTCTGAGAGCAGCAGTGGCCTGTGTTCTGGCCCCAGACCCTCATCTCACAGGACCTCCCACCCGCAGCCTCCACAGACCCAGTGTGTGGATGGCGCCCTGAGAGCATCACCTGGGCTGCTGCTTCTTGGAGCCTGTGGAGAGGAGGTTCCAGCTTGGAGAGGCCTTTGTGTGTTATTAGCCATTAGCGGGAAGAGGTCTCTGTGGAGACGGAGCTCCGTCACCTGAGGCTTGGTTAGCCCGAGGGCGGGTTCATAAAGGAAACACAGGCTAAATGCAGGATTACTTTTTCCAAACAGTTTTCAAAAGAACAGGGTTGGTCCTTAGCATCTGCCCCAGTGGCTGGCAGCTCTGTTCCTCTTAGGCTCAGAGCTCGCAGAATGAGCGTGCCTGGGGCCTGGTCGGCTGCACCTGTTCTGACCGAGGCTCACTGTTCACCTCTGCCTGGCTGGAGCCCCTCCCACTGTCCCAGCTCTCACACCTCCTTCTGCACTTCCTGGCCCCCCAGCAACAAAATGCTCCACACCAATCGCGTCAGGCCTTCCCAGACCTGGGCCCAAATGCCGGGCGACGATGGCTGTTTTCTGTTTGATGGGAGATGGTGTTTAGAGGCCAGCCCCGGCCCCGGCCCTGCTCACTGGCACAGGACCTGTCATGGTCTTGACCCGGCCAGTGGGCAGGGACAGAAGCACATGCTTAGTTTAATTTCGTGGGACACAGTGACGCTTCTGAAACTGTCCCAGACACCGTTTCTTCACTGTTTTGGTAACGTCCTTGTATCTCCTACACCCTCGGCTCCGCCCCACCCATCATTCTGAAAGGAACCATCACGCCTGCCTCTCACAGAAACGAAAACAAATCACGTCCTCCGTTAATGTTACTTAGTTTTTTAAACTATAGTATTGAATCTACTTTAGACCTAAATGTCAGTAATACTCAAATGTGTTCCTTTAGAAAAGCAAGGATACACTCTAAGTCCTAAATCTGATATTAGTGACACCAGTAAAAGCAAAATCTTCTCCAACCCCCACAAAGAATTGCCAGGGTTCAATACAATTTGTGGTTAAAACATCAAATTAAAACCAATAAACTCAAGATATGTGTCTCAGTCAATGAAACTGCTCTATATGTCATGTTACCCAAGAGTTAAAATGAAAAACTCCACTGTTACTATTCAGCTACATAGTAACAAACCAACCATGACAAAGGGTTTATTCTTTTCCCCAGAAAGATGGGGGCTGAAAGCATGTGTTTAAAGAAAACATTAAGAAGGTCTCCCAGCAACACCTTATCTGCTCTGATGTCCTCCTGCTCGGACAGCCAGTGGTTCGGGGGACAGAAGTTCCTCCTCGTGTCTCTGGACTTCAACATCTTCACCAGGTTGGTGATGACCTGGGGAGCAAGAGCAGGCCCACGTCACACAGACAACCCGGCACTGCCACCGTCAGAAGTCAAAGGACCCCGAGCATGTGGGCTTCGGTGACCACGGCCGGGCTGGGCCACCAAGCATAATAAAGTTATATGTCCAAATTTTAAACCTTTACCACCAGGATTTGATCACACAAGTATTATGTAAAGTTAAGACTATGATGGTGTTTTCTGAAAAAGTCAGCCTGCCTTTTATTACACCCCGCCTCTAATTAAGTAAAAGGTAATTGGGGCCCAGCCGGCGTGGCTCAGCAGTTGAGCACTGACCTAGGATCCAGATCATCAGGGTTCGATTCCCGGTCAGGGCACAGGCCTGGGTTGCGGGCTCTATCCCCAGTCGGGGGCCTGCAGGAAGCAGCCGATTCATGACTTATCAGTGATGTTTCTCTCTCTCTCCCTCTCCCTTCCTCTCTCTGAAATCAATTAAAAATATATATTTTTTTAAAAAGGTAATTAGGATAAAATATAATTTGGATAGGAATGGTAAAATTAGAGTAAGGTGATAAATTTCCAAATATACCCACCAGACAAGCAAGACTAAATCATCTCAATCGTTAATAACAATTTCCCTTTAAAACCCCACAATTCAGCATCCACACAATAGAAACACAGATGCTTCCCCTATGACATGACATCCCAACACCCAGGATACCAGAAACTCTGTGCCCCGTGAAAGTGGCTGGTACCTCCACCAGGGTAGCAGGGACACCACCTGGATGACATGCCCACGGACAGAGAAAAAGCCATCCCTGACCACTGGGCCATGCAGGCCCCACGCATTAGGGAAAACCTCTCCGGGTCTGGAGCACAGCTCTTTCATTGATGGGTATCTCTTGCCAATTTAGCCATGACACCTGGTGGCATCTTTAAGCCCACGTAATGCCATGGAGTGCCCTTTCCAAACGAGCAGACATCTTAGGTAAGGCGGCAGGTGACCCCTTCGCCACTGGCTGGTTGTGCAGGGGTTGCTCAGGGGTGAGGTCACCCAGATGCAGGTTTTTTGGGACCACTGCCTTCACGGTGGCCCAGGACACAGGGAGAGCCTAGGCTAGGGTTCCCCCCAGTTAACTGCTGTCAGAACCAACCATGGTCGTGACCACACGCTGCACCTGTGGAAGCCTGGGCTCCAGGTCCCGCAGAGGACTGAACGCAGGGAGCTGCACTGCCCCTGCTGCCGTGGTCGGGGGGTTCAGGGTGCTTGTCCGGTTCGCTGTGTAACGACACTAGAGGCCACGGAATCAATCTGGCCTCAGTTCCAACCCTAGCACAGGGTGCAGTCAACGTTCCTGGGGCAAGTACTGTATTTATTTATTTAAATATGTTTTTATTGATTTCAGAGAGAGGAAGGGAGAGCGAGAGAGAGAAACATCAATGATGAGAGTTATTTATTGCCTGCCTCCTGCACGCCCCCTACTGGGGGTCGAGCCCACAACCCGGGCCTGTGCCCTGACCGGGAATCGAACCGAGATGTCCTGGATCCCAGGTCGACGCCCAACCCCTGAGCCACACCAGCTGGGCAATACCACGAGTATTTAAATAGTGACACCCTCACCTGTAGTCACAATGCATCTGATGTGGACAACTGCTGTCAGAGGCCCACCGAACTTATCCAGCCCTCAGGTACCACGTGCTAAAGACAACCGTGTTCTCCAACGTATTTCCATTCTACTTCGTAGTCACACACAAAGCAGACNATGCACTGGTGTGTTTTTAAAGACAACCGTGTTCTCCAACGTATTTCCATTCTACTTCGTAGTCACACACAAAGCAGACAGACCCTTAAGACAGGAAGGACGTGCACAGCTGCACCAGGACATAGGCCACTGCTCTGTGCCCCTCAGTGAACAGACAGCTGATGGTGGCATGTGAGGCTCACAGCTAGAGTCTGCTGTCGTCCTGATTCTTAACTTTTTAAGAAATCTTTTTGAAATTGAAAAACACAAACCACTCACCAGGACAGTGAAATACCTCGTACTGTGCCGTGTCCAGACAGCTGTGGTAAGCAGGGCACGAACCCCGCCGCCCCAGCACACTCCTACCATGGGGGAGCCCCACACACGCATGTTGCCCAGGAGCACACATGGCAAAGCCATCAGAGCTACAGATGACACGTCAGGGGAGTTTACAAATCTGATAAGTGCATCCATTGTTTTAGCAGCATCAATGCTGGTCTGAGAAACTGACCTCAGTTCCCAGTGACAGAAAGATGACTCTTCCACTTAAAGTTCTACAGCCTCTCCCAGAAATTAGTTCGCGAGGACCAGAAGGGCTGAAAGAATGGCCAGCAGCCGAGGAAGTCAGGTCTCATCACTGCAATTCCGTCAGGTCAGCGGAAGACAGGAAGTCACTGGAAACGCTCTTACCTTCTTGGTTGATTCTACCACGAATTCTTCAACTAAAACGTGGCCGTGCGACGTATAACAATCACCGACCGTTTATCCAGTCTTTCTACCCACGACCTGCGCGACCACGGCTGTAACTCGGGAGACCTGCGGTATCTTCCTCAGTCTCCCCACTGAACCCACCAATACACGCACACTCTGAGGACACTGTCTGGAGCAGTCACCGCGGAGGGGAGTTCTTGTTATTTCATGGCAAAGATCATCTTTTCTGCACAGAACGCTAATAGCAGCTGAACTTTCCCCCTCAAAGATTAGGCCTTGACCTGTTTCTCATTTTTAGGCCTCAGCTCAATGAACAGGTAGTATAATTTTTTTCCCCAAAGAAAAGAAATCCTGCTAAAAAGAAATCTTCAAACAATCCTGTTCCAAACTCAGAAGAGCTTTGTAACAACCCAATTTCAAATCTAAAATAATCGTTTACCAAAAAAGTGAACTTTCGCCTTGGTTCTCAAAAACTCTCAATCCCAACAAAGTGCCAATGAGTCATTTTGAGGCATAAGAAAAAACTCAACATGAAATTTCCATTAATGCTTAAACAAGGGGAAAATACACAGCATTATTAAAGCCAGAGACGCCTAGGTCCAAAAGATAAGGCTGTCGTGAAGATTATTAAATTCTCAGTAGGTGCCATAAATAGTGAGGTTATCGGACACTGTACACAATGCCTGATATCTACGAGATGGAAAGCTTTATTAACCAGATCCCAGGGTTTAATTAAACACTTGAAGGAAAACACATCTGCTACCACAATACACGTATCCAGGAAAAGTTTACATAAGAATTATGGGTTTTAAATGGGTGAATAGCTTATTTTTAACTTAGAAAAGTTGCAACATTGTCAGTCTTTAAGAAAGGATATATACCAAGGGCTCAACATGTGACCTTCATAGTTTACTTAGGAACACAGAGATAGGTAATTAAAATAAATTGCGCAAACACATATTACATCAATCTGCACAAATTATAAATTCAACGATGCATTAGGACTGTATTCAGTGCAATCAAAACATTATCAGTTACTCTCTCTGCTGCTAATGCCTGTGCTCGTAAGTGAAATGTGTTGTAAAATCAGGCGAATGGGCTGGACAGGGACTGCGCGCTCGCAGGATGAGTAAGCAGCCCTTAACGAGCCCATCGGGTTAAGTGCGAGCATTAATGGGCCTTTCCTAAAGTCTAGCTCGACATCTTTCTCCAAACACGGCCAAGGAGAAAGCTCCATTAGCAATATTAATACAAGCTTAGCTGATCATTTTCATTCAATTAACTTCTTTCAATTAAATAGATAGCTTGACAAAAGCAGTGATAAAAGACCTGAAGGGACAGCTGATGACTCGGACGGAGCATTAGTGCGCTCGAGGTCGCCAGTGCTAAACGGACTGTAAATCTAGCATCCAATTTGGAAAATGCGTTTCTTCTGCTCTCACTCCTTTAATGAGCGATTTTAGCTGACGAGATGTGTTTGCTGCAGAGATTTCATGGGAAGTCAAGCACCCTCTCTCTTTTCTTTTTTCTGCCCTGATAGTTACAGGCTCTCTCGGTGGCAGTTTCCTGCCAACATTCCAGCCTCAGAAACTCCATCTCTACGTGGCTAGAGATGGAGATGGTCTAAAATAATTTATACTCAACTTCCATTAAATCGATGACCTTACTCCACCTGTTAATCAACTTCTTAAAAGATTAAAAAAGGAAGTGTGTAAGAGAAATAAAAACGAAAACATTAAGCATTTTATTTGTATTTTACGTTGTCACCAAAAGTAGTTACTGCAACTTGTAACAGGTGCATTTAACAACTAAAACTGTGGTTTTAAAAGAAGGTAAGCCCTGGCCAGTTTGGCTCAGTGGCTGGAGTGTCAGCTGAGGACTGAAGGGTCTTGGATTTGATTCCAGTGAAGAGCACGTACCTGGATTTTGGGTTCACTCCCCGCCCCCCAGTTGGAGCAAGTGTGGGAGGTAACCAGTCAATGCGTCTCGCTCACATCACTGTTTCTCTCTCTCCCTCCCTCCCCATTCCACTCTCTCTAAAAAAAATCAATGGAAAAATATCCTCAGGTGAGGATTTAAAAAGAGAGAGAGAGAGCGAGTGCGCAGAAATGGCAAATGCTGGGGGCAGGAGAGGCTGAAAAGGGTAAAGGGCCAAGTACGTGAAAAGGAAGGTGGTGGGCACAGAGCGCCACACGCAGGTCACTACCACAGGCATGTACACTGGAACCAATATGATGTTATTAACCAGTGTTACCCCAACAAATTGAATAAAAGAAAAGTAAAAGAAAAAGGAATAAAGAATATCTAAAACAGCAGCAGAACAGAACAAAAGGGAAGGAGAAGCGAGCTGTCTCCAGGCCTGTGACTGCGCGTCCCGCCCACCGAGGGGCACCCCTGCCCCACTGACCTTGAACAGCTGGATCCACCGCTTCTGCTCCACCTGGACGCACTGCTGCACCTCGGCGCTCGCGGTCACCCCGATGCTCTGGAATGCGGTCGCGTACTCCTCGCGCACCTCGGGCCTGGTCTCGGGGTACGCCAGCTTGATGATCCCGAGGCAGGCGTCCCGGAGGCAGCGGGACAGCACCACCAGCTCCTCCAGAGTGAAGGGCATCAGGGACGACGGCCTCTGACCTACGACTGGAGAACAAGCCCAGGCCCGTCACAATCTTCGGAAGCTGCCCACACACTAACGCCTTCAGAGGACGCAGACCTCTGTCCCCCAAGGGCCGGCACCAGGGGGCCCCTCAAGTCTCACCATCGATGGGGTCCCCGAAGAACTCGTTGTCGTGTATGGAGATCAGCGAGTGACTGAACAAGGAGCTGAACAGATAGAAGAGGGGGATGATGCGGCCAGAGTCCTCGAAGGACATGGGCGAGCCCCTGGATATGACCTGCAGCAGCGGCACCATGGACCTGGGTGGGGAGAAGACGTGACGCAGACAAGAGTCAGGGAACCCGACATTCATACGAGCAGTGCACCCACGAAGGGCGGGTGAAGTCCTAACAACACAGCTAACAAACAAGTGAAAAACCAGGAACCGCCGGCCACTCTTCACTCATGGCCTGAGCCAGGTCCTCAGATGGCCCTTAGAGGAGCGGCACAAGGAATGCCACGATTACAGACACACACTTTACTTTTACGCTGAAACCCCCCTATTTGACACATTCAATAAAGGCAGACCACTCTGGTGCCATGAATTCGCGCAGGGGAATACAAACTCCGGTCAGAAGCTTCAGGAATGAAGCCTCCCCTTCTCTACCCTCGGTCTGTTCCTACTGTCCAAGTTCATCCCCAGCTGTTACTGCTCCTGCTTCTACGAGGAGTCACTGACCACACAGGGCAGCCTAAGGTGAGGTGGTCCCGAGCTCTGGAGTCCCCTCATCTGTCAAGGGCTGTGATGTGTTATAGTTACTTCTCCCACCTCTAATCAGGTCCCTTTCTCTTGTGGTTAATGTGGTCTTTTGTATTACTGAACTTTTAGCTAACACAGGTTCACCCATGAGCTCTTTCCAAACTCTACGGCCCCATGGTCCCTAAGGCGTGTCCAATCAATCCTGGGGTAGTCGATGCTATGGGCACCATGAACATCTATTTCCACAAAACCACACTCAATGAGATGTGACCAGGAGTCAGGAACACCCGTTATCACCTGGCTGCCCAGCAGGCCCACAGTTCTACAAGAGAGCACAGCTGGTGAGGCCAGCAGATGGTCAGTTATTCCCAGGGGGCTTTGCTGGGCTTGGCTGAAGCCCTGGAGCTTCACGGTCTCCAAGGTGCACAGCTCAGGGGAGAGCAGGGCTGAGGACAGGGACCCAGGTGAACTCTGCTCCCATGAGAAGAAACACTCTGGCCATTGTCCCATCTGAACATGCCCCACTCCACAGGCAGTCCTAGCATTGAACACTGAGCTCAATGAATTAATGAACCAAAGGGATTGGTCCAAAACGGAACACAGTGAGGATACTACAGGGCCAACTATCCCACGTCATGGACAAAACCAGCGTGACAGGAAAAGGCTGTGCATGTGCAAGATAAAGAAGGGTGGGGCTGCTTAACTGCATGACAGCGGCTACCTCCACAGGACCGAGCCATCTCCCAACTTAGTCCCCACCAAGTCTACTGGGCCATCCACTCAGTAACATTTCACTGACATACGGAAAAAAAAATTTAATGTCATGTTTTGTTGATACTAGTAAAAATAAGTTTTACTTGCCTTGCCACTAAATGCAGAACTACAAAAATAACAGATAATATTGATGAATAAATATTATTAGGGGAACATGGTATAGGTTGAATTAACCACTTGTAATGTGAAGAAAATATTTCCTGAGTCTAAAAAAGTGATAGGCCAGCTTTCAGCTATTATTGCAGTCAATAATCCTTGTACTCAAAATCACCATCACCACCACCATCCTCACCATCACCACCATCCTCACCATCACCACCATCCTCACCATCACCACCATCACCACCATCACCACCATCCTCACCATCACCACCATCACCACCATCACCACCATCCTCACCATCACCACCATCACCACCATCCTCACCATCCTCACCATCACCACCATCACCACCATCCCCACCATCACCATCCTCACCATCACCACCATCACCACCATCCTCACCATCCCCACCATCACCATCACCACCATCCTCACCACCACCACCATCCTCACCATCACACCACCACCACCACCACCACCACCACCATCCTCACCATCACCACCATCACCACCATCCTCACCATCACCATCCTCACCATCATCACCATCACCACCATCCTCACCATCACCACCACCACCACCATCACCACCATCACCACCATCCTCACCATCACCATCACCATCACCATCACCACCATCCTCACCATCACCATCACCACCATCATCACCACCATCACCACCATCCTCACCATCACCACCACCACCATCCTCACCATCACCACCATCATCACCATCACCACCATCACCACCATCCTCACCACCATCATCACTACCACCACCACCACCAGCATCACCATCACCATCATCACCACCACCACCATCATCAGCCTCACCATCAACATGGGTTTACCCACATGTCTGTCAGGATGCATAAAATTCTTATATTGGTTCCCTAAAATAAGACTGGGGCAATTCTTTAGCATTAGCTTCTTTGTTCTCTTTAACCCACTGTGGGGTTGCAAGAAATTAATCATTTTCATTCTATTGACAAAAGCTGTGCCTGGCAAGAAGGGTCAGCTATGTGCCCGTGTTGTGATGCAGCCGGGGCATAAATGAAACACGTCTCTTGATTCTCTGCTGACTGCTCTTTCTGCCATAAACACTAACTCAAATATTCCCCTGAAAGCAGGTCAGTTTCAAAGGCTTATGTGCAAATGAAAAGCCTATGACTTTACTGTAATGGAAAGACACTGAGTGGTAACGAGCGGATCAGGAGCACCGACGAGACCTCAGGCAATCCCGGGCCTCTCTGTATCTGCCTCTGAACCAGGGGCCTCAGGCTGGGCCTGGCTACCCTCCCCCACCCCCCAAATGGAAGGGCCTCTCTCCCACCCGGCAGAAGCTTCTACGGAACGGAACGTGTTCCTGCCTAAACTGCTTGGGCTGCTGGAAGTTCCACTTACTACCAGTGACGATGACAGGGAAAGCAGCGGTCACATGCGACAAGCGCAGTCCCTGCTGAGGGAGACACAGCAGGGGCCACGCCAGCCTGGGCCGAGGGCCCGCCTGCTGGTTGCACGCAGAGGGTCCCCCACCTCCGTGTGGTTCAGCTAAAGGATGTCTGACGGAGAGTGGAAACCCCTGGCCCTGGTGCCTCCACCTTCCCCTGCACCCCAGTCACCAAGGAGCCCGTGAGGAGTAGATCCCAGGCCTCCAACCCCATCCCCGAACCCAAGGCTCGGGTGGGACAGAAAAGGAACAGCAGACCCGCCCTCGGACGTCTCACACCCACTGCAGCTCAGAGGCCCCAGCTGGGCTCGTCTTGCTACAAAACTGCTTTTGAGTTAAAGTCATTGCCTTTTCCAGAAATATCAGGCATTTTTTCCAAAAGTCAATGTGATAAGATATAATCTAGGATTGATTAACACACTGAGTTTCTCGAGAGACTTTATTTTAATAAATTAAACAAGTAAAAAGAAACTCCAATTCTCACATTGGCTTTTTAAAAATAATTAGTTTTTTAAAAATGTGTAGAGTCTCTCGTCTTTCTCTCACACACCACGACTCCATCCGCTCAGGAGGAGACAACTGGGGAAACAAGCAGGCAGCCCGGGGAAGGGCCTCGGTTGCTAAGCGGAGACACTCGCAGGTCAGCGGTAATTTCCTGTCCCAGTGACCCCCAATCTCCCTTTGCCTAAACAAACCTGTCACTCAGGAAAGCCAAGGCTGAAATGCACCCAAAGTGAAACAGAACACCCCTCAAACAGTACACTCCAACCGAAAATGCAGAGGACGGAGGACACCGCCCGGCTTCCCTATCTCGGCTTCGCAGCCCACTGTGGACACAAGACAATGAAGCAACCTCTGAAAGCTGCCATTCAAGTAAAACGAAACAGAAAGAACAGTTCTGTACAGAGGATGTGGACCATGGCTCCTCGCAGGGCTGACTGTCCCTGATGCTAAGGCACTAAAACGGCCTCCTTTCTCTACAAACCACACTGACCAGCTCGAGGCCAGAGCCCTCAACACAGACTCCACCGAAACGTCACACCCCCAGCCCCAGTGCCAACGCCCACGCCCACATTCTGGACACTCCACCCTCACCCCCAAGCATCCCCTCTTTCAACTGCTTGTCCCTCTCCTTCAAAAAAACATAACACACCAAAGAACAAAAAAAACAAAACAAAAAGAAACAAAAAGAAACACTCTTCTGCCCAGTCTCGCTCTCGGCCTCAGTCCTGCTGAGTCTCGGCCTCAGTCCTGCTCGGCTGGCTCCCGGCTGGGCCCAACAGCAACACCGTCTCCAGGGCAGGGGCCTCACAGCAGCTTCATTCTGAGGTTCCATCTCCAGGAGACCGAGCCACACAGGCCTTTCTGGGGCCAGTGCAGAGGGACCCTGCAGACCTCTGAGGGGCCGTTCCACACGGAGCCGGCCACGGCACTCTACACACACGTTCATTCTGTGCCTGCTGCTCACGCGATTACAATGTGTAAAGAAACGAATCCCCCCCTCCCCCCAGCAACACAGCGATTCAGACAGGAGAAACCAAACTGCTTCAACATGAAGTTTCAGCCCAGCCGGCGTGGCTCAGTGGTCGAGCATCACCTATGAACCAGGAGGTCAGGGTTCAATTCCCGGTCAGGGCACAGGCCTGGGTTGCAGGCTCCTTGATCCCCAGCAGGGGACGTGCAGGAGGCAGCCGATCCATGACACTCTCTCATTGACGGTTTCTCTCTCTCTCTCTCTCTCCCTTCCTCTGAAATAAAAACATAAAAAAAAGTTTTAAGGAACCAGCTTCTACAATATTTGACATCTTTTAAGGTTCGAAATGGTGTGAAATTTGCTTCAAACCCTGTTTTCACTCTCAAAAGCACAGGAAGATCATGAGGAGCAAAGAATTTTGAAGCCTCTAGTTTCCAAAATGACTAGATTTTTAAAACAAATTTACCCTCAGATGAAGCCATACTCTTAATAACATGTACAGATAAACAGCTGCAAAATGGGCATTATTTCTTCTTGTGAAGTTCGGACCATCTAGAAGTTATCTTCTAACATGGAATGAGCCAGATCTGAGCAGGACTTAAAAACGCCTCCCACTATTCTGCATTCACTGGCCGCTCTCCATCCTCAAGCTCCGTCCAGGAGACCCGGGCACCTACCCTGTGACCATCCGTGTTGTCATGGACGATATGAGGACCCAGAGGTGCCGCAGGAACCTGGCGTTGAAGGCTAAGCTGTAGAGGAGCCTGGAAAGGAGCCGGGAAACGGGAGTCAGCAGGCCCTTGCCCAGCGCATTCCCTCGAGACGGGGGCACGCCGAGGACGCTGCACAGCCCGGAACACGCCTCTGTCACCACCGCCAGTGCGCGTGCCCTGCGGGCTGCACCACCCAGGCCACGAGCAGTGGGCCTCGCAAGGACCCCCGCTGCGCCCAGAGAGCCACCAGGACAGCCGAGCCTGCCCCTCTCTGAAGTACAGCTCGAAGCACGCCGACACCCTACGCTGTTACGTGTCACTACTGTTACTGCCAACGTGCGTTTAAGGAACTTCAAATGTTCAGTGACTGACTTTGAGTCACCCTTCTTGAAACAGGACATAAAAATGTTTTTTGTGTTTTTTGTTAATTCTCACCTGAGGATATTTTTCCATCGCTTTTCAGAGAGAGAGGGAGGGAGGGAGGGAGGGAGAGAACACTGTGAAAGAGATCCAGGAACGGCTGCCTCCCACAACCCCGACCAGGCCGGGAGGAGCCCAAAGCCCAGGTGCGTGCCCTTGACGGCGAATCGAATCCTTGACCCTTGGGTGCGCAGGCCGGCACGCTAACCGCTGAGCCACACCGGCAAGGGCGGTTCCATGTTTCTTTATACGGCCTAACAATCAATGTTACACAGAGATTAAAACTTCAAATCCCACCCGGCCAGGCACAGCTCAGCGGCTGAGCATCGACCTGGGATCCAGGAGACTGCGGTTCGATTCCTGGTCAGGGCACATGCGCGGGTTGTGAGATCGATCCTGTCGGGGGCGTGCAGGAGGCAGCCGATCCATGACTCTCTCATCACTGATGTTTCTCTCTCTCTCCCTCTCCCTTCTTCTCTCTGAAATCAATAAAGATATATTTAAAGTACAAACAAAAAACCTGCAAATCCCAACTCTGGGAACAGAGGGACTGAAGTGAGCCTGGGAGAACTTGAGAGCGACCTACCGGCCTGGGAATCCACTAACCCTGCTTTAAGCACCTTTTAAAAAAGCTAAGACCTGGACGGTTGGCTCAGCTGGTTGAACGCCACCCTGTACACCAAAAGGCTGTGGGTTTGACTCCAGGTGGGGACACATGCCCAGGCTGCAGGTTCGGCCCCAGGCTCGGGTGTGTGCAGGAGGCAGCGTATCGACATATCAGTGTTTCTCTCTCTCTTTCCCTTCCTCTATAAAATCAATGAACATGTCCTCAGGTGAGGATTACAAAAGGAAGTTGAAAGCAGTTAAAAATCCTCAGCTGTTAAGGAAAGCCTACTTGCTCCTTTGTGAACTATGGGGAACAGTCTCAATATTTAAAACCTAATACATTTAAAACAAAAATAAGACTCCTGGAGCAGTTTCTTGGAGGAAACAGGCGCTGTGCTCACAGCCAGCCCACACGGACACCCGCTGGACAGGGCTCCCTAGGAACCCAGAGCAGTGATCACGGCCCAGCCGGTGGACTTTGCCCTGCAATAAAAGCAAGCAGCCCACCCCGCTCCAGCACCGTTCCCTCAGATCTCACATCCTGCTTTCATGCAATTAGCCCCAGGAAGCTAATCACCTAATCGAAGATCACAGCTCCCTAGCACCTGACTTCCTCCGCAGCAATAAACACCAGCTGGCTAAGACAGCACCTAATTAGCTGCCCGCATCGGTGCTCACAGGCAGCTTCTGTAGGTGACGCCCCTACACGGTTCATTCCAAAGACTGTCCTCACCAGAGCAGCGGCTCTTTCATGCTGTGGGCCAGCGACTGATAAAGGTGACGCAGGTCACCTGACACAGCATAGGACCCACTAGAGACAGCTGTCCAGCAGGTGGCCTGTGGCCTGTCTCTCAGTTCCTACACCTGCTGCATATTTCTGCACTTAAATATTTTTCTGTTGAATTCCTAAGAAATTGCTAAACTGTCACTTAAAACAGAGGAAAAAACAGTTCAAGATTTCAGTCACAGTGACCCTAGCACAAGTCAGCCATTTTAACAGGTACATTTTGTTCCTCTTGAACGTTTAATTCAAAAAATTTTCTAATATATATTCTATCTATGTCAGAGAGGAAGGGAGAGAAATACCACTGACGAGTCACTGATGGGCCGCCACCTGCACGCCCTGCTGGGGATGGAGCTGCAGCTCCGGCCTGTGCCCCCACCGGGCATCGGACCCTGACCTCCAGGGTCCCAGGTGGGTGCTCGACCGCTGGCCACGCTGGGCTGCGCACATTAGGAAACCAAGCTCTCAAGTGCCCGAGCACACTGCCAGGGGCGTCTGATAGAAAGCATGGAAAGGCCTAAAACAACATGTCATATTTGGGGTAACTATAGGCATGAGCCCAACTTTTAAAATGCGGGCTAGGCCCAGACTTCGCATCCCCACGACAAGGCGGCTGGTTCATCTGCTACCCGGACCTGGCCCCCCGGCGCCTGCGGGCCTAGAAAGAGACCCGAGTCCTCCCCACGCATGCCAGGGTGACCACCCCGCACCCCAGCGGGGGCCCACAGGGACGGGGGCCCACAGGGACGGGGGCCCACAGGGATTGGGGCCCACAGGGATGGGGGCCCACAGGGACAGAGGCCCACAGGGATGGGGGCCCACAGGGACAGAGGCCCACAGGGATGGGGGCCCACAGGGATTGGGGGCCCACAGGGATTGGGGCCCACAGGGACGGGGGCCCACAGGGATTGGGGACCCACAGGGATTGGGGTCCACAGGGATTGGGGACCCACAGGGATTGGGGTCCACAGGGATTGGGGCCCACAGGGAC